AAAAAGCCCTTTTCCGGAGGATCTTATTCCTACTTCAAAGTAGGAATAAGATCCTCTGGAAAAGGGCCTTTTGTCCGGAGGATCGGGGCCAGTGTAGACGCTCTTTTCCGGCTTTTCTAAAAGCCGGAAAAAAGCGGCGGACATTTTTATTTAAATGCCGCGGGGGATATTTAAATCCCCCGCGGATTTCCCTATTACGACCTGTAAAATTAGCATGCCCCTTTCGGAAAAGGGGCCAGTGTAGACATAGCCTATGGGTATGTCCACACAGCAAAGTTATTTCGAAATAACAGCTGTTATTTTGAAATAACTTTCCTAGCATCTTCACAAGCCAACTGGTATTTCAATATTAATTCAAAATGGCGGAGAGCTTATTTCGAAATTGGTAAATCTCTTTCCACAAGGAATAGTGCCAATTTCAAATTTGCTATTTTGAAATAAGCTCTGTGTAGACTCTTATTTTGAAATAGGGGGGCTCCAGCCCTTCCCTGGGTGCCCTGCTGGCTGCCCTGGCCACAAGGTAACTTCTGACCTGATGCCCTGCCAGAACCAGCTCTGGCTGGCCATAAATGCGATTCAGCATCCAATCAGTGTGGACGCGCTATTTTGAAATAGCAAAAAGCTATTTTGAAATGCATTTTGTATGTAAATAAGATCTTTTGAAATAACTATTTTGAAATTAGATATTTCAAAATTATGCTGTAGTGTAGACATACCCTATGAGGTAGCTTTAGCAATAGCATTGTGATAAAGTATAGGGTGAAATCATTTTTCTTTTTCTCTTGTTATTTTTTAGATCTTTATTGTGTAAAAGCGGCGAGGAGTCCTGTGGCACCTTATAGACTAAGTGAAGTGTAGGAGCATAAGCTTTCGTGGGCAAAGACCCACTTTGTCAGATGCTCCTACACTTCAGTTAGTCTATAAGGTGCCACAGGACTCCTCGCCGCTTTTACACAATAAAGATCTAAAAAATAACAAGAGAAAAAGAAAAATGATTTCACCCTATACTTTATCACAATGCTATTGCTAAAGCTACCTCATAGGGTATGTCTACACTACAGCATAATTTTGAAATATCTAATTTCAAAATAGTTATTTCAAAAGATCTTATTTACATACAAAATGCATTTCAAAATAGCTTTTTGCTATTTCAAAATAGCGCGTCCACACTGATTGGATGCTGAATCGCATTTATGGCCAGCCAGAGCTGGTTCTGATTATTGTGTAAAAATTATGAAAGACCTTCATAGTAAAACTTACAGTTGGACCATACACAGATGGACCATGACTCATTACTGGTATGAGTAGAGATAAATTCATATCTGAAGATTCCAGCAAAACTCAAGTGAACAGATTTCCTGGTACCTAACCACAAGATTTCTGGCTTTTTCTTTGTTCCGGGAATCTGTCCAAGGAGATATCAAATGCTTCTCCTATACACATTCATAGACCACCCCCCAATCTCCTATACACATTCATAGACCACCCCCCAATCTCTCTCCCAATCAAGTGCAGGTACCCACCGAAATCTCAGGGTGGAAAGTCCAACTTTGCTTAAAAGGTTGGACATCCTAGCACCAGAAAGAGGATAAAGGCTTAGAATTAAGGAAGCCAGGGCTGCTGCTGCTAACGCCCCTGCCAGAGGGCCCTTGTTTCATTCATTCTGTCTAAATCTTGCTTCTAAGTGTTCCATACTCCACCTGTCACCAAGGTCCCTCAGTGGAGGAAGGCTGGTACTTCCACGCTCGGACTTGGGGTAGAAGATTCTGCGAGTATGAAATCCTGCTAGGTAATTAGACCTGTATACTTCAAAAAATACACTTTATAACACAGATTTGGTTAATATTATCCGCAGAGGAGATTCAATGAATCTGTATTCAGTGTGATAGTCTTCGTTGTGTTTGTCACCTTGATACCTGTAATAATAAAACCTGTTTCAATTGCATATCCTGATTGTAAGTGTGAACATTGTTCTGAACCCTCAGACCCTCCTGAGGTAGAGCCGTAGAGGTCTACCAGCATGTAACATGGGATAAGGAGGACGAACGTGAAATCTCGTTCCCACCTAAATTCCACTGTAGAGTCTTCCAGGCTGCACCACTTCCACAGTCAAGAAAGTGAACAACTTTGGGTAAGAACTCAGTTGAATGGGAAAGTGAAGGCAGCAGTTGGGGGCGGGGGGAGACAATGTTTAACAAAGGGGAAAAGGGAAAATAGATGGCCAGGAATACAAGTCAGAAGTTACAAAAAATGATAAGGAACGTTAAAGCTATCAGGGGAAACTGCATGCTTGGCAGGATCGTAAAAAGGAGGCAGTGACGTACATTAAGAACAAGAGGAATCATAGAAAAGTTTTTTGGCAATTCTACTGTTAAATGTAAAGTGTTAAAAACAACGAAAAAGTGAAAAAAATTGACTAGGTTAAAAAACAATGGGAAAACTGGTATGGGGTTAGTTCAGAAAAGAAATCTAGACATATAATTTATATCAATCAATGACAGGGATTCTGTAAAATAGGTTTTGTTGAAGAAATAAATCTGATTGCATTGATTTAATAGAGTGAACGTTTGGTTGATCAAGGAAACTGCTCAGTTACAACAAACTTTGCTTTTTCCGAGGCTTTTGATTTAGCAGAGGAAAATATTGAGGCAAAAAACTAACATTCAAACATAACAGCAGAGCCCATGTAAAATATAATACAAACTGGCTGACAGAGCTCAACAGTGATCTGGAAGGAAGTAGAAAATCATTGCTGATAAAATTTGTAGACAACGCAACGACTGGCAGAGGGGTTACAATGAGGCAGCTAGGGCAGGCACACCAATTGAGCAGGAGCATTTGGTAAGAATGGCCCATGCACGCAAACGGTTTTAATAGGGTAACACAAATTGTGTAGTGTATTTCGAGCTAAGGGTGCTGTGTAGACACATTCTGAGTATACAATGAAAAAGCTAGTGTAGACTAGGTCTTCAGTTTGCATGAAATTCAATGGGCTGTGTTATACAAGATGGTCTAACGGTCTCTTCTGACCTTAATCTCTCTGAATCTCTCCATAAAGAAAGTAGATCGGGAATTTATATTTACTCTATTTCATAACACACAAACAAGGGCACATGGAGTTCCATTAAAAGTCTGAACATATAATCATGAGCTAAAGTAAATTGCTAACCTATACCATATTTGGCCTGGGGAATGCCTTGCTACCAGCATTACAGAAAAATAGAAGGTAGTTGATTGGGATTCCCAATGTGTTGGCCATTGTAGGTTGTGTTGCCGGCACCAATGTTAGTTAAATCTGTCTGAGAGCTTCAATTAGAAAACCCCATTTTCGGTTGTGTATAAATTTACCAAAGGTTAAAATTTGGGCCAAATGTTCGGGACGTTGGGTTTCTGCTTCCAGCAGAATTGGGTTTTGGAATGTTTCTGGCACACCCGTTCATCTGGAGTCTCTAATGAAACTGGAGGAAGCATGTCTGCCCACGCTGAACCACTCTTCCAATTGTTTCACCGCAGAGCCCCAGCATGGCCAAGCTTCCCAGGAGATAAACAGTCAAGTAACAGCCCCACCCCCCTAACAGCCGGAGCCCTGATCTGCAAGAGGACGAGGTGACCGTGTCTGTGCAGGAACACACAGCTGGCTCGTGAGGCTCTTACTCCGAGGGGAGTTTTGCCTCACTGGGGTCGAAGCAGAGCACGAGCCACAACATCACAATTTGTCCTCACATTGGACACCTACTAACCCCCTTCATCCTGCAGGATCCCCTGTACCACTGAAACGCCCCCATCTCAGGTCTGGAGGCCACCACACAGGGTGGGAGGTGGAGCGCAGGAGGGAATGAATTATTGCCCGTGACACTGGAGCACACTCGTGGCCTAGCAAGACGCCGAGATGGTTAGTGGCTGTGAGGAGCACAAAGGACACAGACTGACTCTGTCTGATAAGGCCTGTGTTGCACTGGGCTTGTCGAGCAAGAGCTGGTACCTGTGAGTGTTGATAGGGACGTGTACTTCCTGGGAATCCCCCTCGGGCAGCCGCGTCCTGCACCTCTCTCCGCCCAGCGTCTGCAGCAGCGTCCCACGCCAAGAGCCGACACGGGGCTGTGCACTGGTTATAATATAGCTTTGTGCTCTCTCAGTGGGGTTCACGTTGCCCCTAGAGGGGAAGAGGGCATCTGGATGCAAACAGGCCAGGGACAAGCCCTTCTCTGCTAATTATCCATCTTCAGGAGTAAACACTCATTAAGGTGCTTTTCCCAAAGGGAGCGGAGAAATCTTGGGATCTGGGTCCAAGAGCAGCTGGATGTTTTGTATATTTCTGGATATTGGTAACTTAGAGTTGATCAGTAAGAAATGTAGGGATAACGCGAGCTCACCAGAGTTTCTGCTACCCTGGATATGCTCAGGAAGGATAGGCAGATAGTCGACCATCATATCTGGAGATAGATCACTGAGAGGAGACAATCGCATTTTCTGCAGGCACACAGAGCTTTCGTTAAGGGCCAGAGATCACTGATTCTCATCAGTAACGTTCATCACACTGGGCAGCACCTTTCCCTTAAGCATCTTCAAATCATCTAGCAAAGGAAAATCCCTATGGACATATACAGAAAGGTAAAATGAGGCACAGGGGCTCTCAACTGGCCATGGCCACAAATACATTGAGTGGGAAGGTGACAGACAAAACCCAGGAGTCCTGACTTCCCTGCATATCCACGGTCTCTCCATCAAGTCGAACTGGTAATCGGTAAAGGGTTATGCTTTTAGGTAATTCTGCAGGCTCTGGGATGTGATTCAGACAGAATTCCATCAGAGTTTGCAAGCAGGGGAGTTTGGGGAGAAAAGAGACCAGCAAAAAGTGCATCTTCTTGAGTAGTCAGGACTATCCATGCACATCTTGACTTGCAAATCCTTGTTAATGTCATTAGAGAATTCTAGTAGTTTGGTGACACATGATTTCCCCTTACAAAAAACATGCAGGCCCTTCCCAAAACAAACGATGTCCATCCATGTATCCAACAGTTCTGTCTTTTATTATAGTATTAACCTGACCTAGGGCCATCTAAAGAGTCACATGGGTTATCCTGCCATCATTTGGGAGAGGAGTGATTTAAATGGTAGGTTCTATGCTACAGTTACCAGTTCTGCAATTACCCGTTTGATTTCCTTCAGAACTCTTGGGTGAATACTTTCTGGTCCGGGTTCTTCCCTTCTCACTCTGAATCCCAATGCGATACCCAGCATCCTGAATTCAGCTCTGGTGTAAAATTGCCACAAATCTTGTACAAAATTTGCCATGTGAGGGTATGTCTACACAACAGCATTGATTTGGAATAACTGACATTATCAGATGTATTGTGAGCAAGACACAAGAAGTCATTCTTCCGCTCTACTCTGCACTGGTTAGGCCTCAGTTGGAGTATTGTGTCCAGTTCTGGGCACCACATTTCAAGAAAGATGTGGAGAAATTGGAGAGGGTCCAGAGAAGAGCAACAAGAATGATTAAAGGTCTAGAGAACATGACCTATGAAGGAAGGCTGAAAGAATTGGACTTGTTTAGTTTGGAAAAGAGAAGATTGAGGGGGGACATGATAGCAATTTTCAGGTATCTAAAAGGGTGTCATAAGGAGGAGGGAGAAAACTTGTTCATCTTGGCCTCTGAGGATAGAACAAGAAGCAATGGGCTTAAACTGCAGCAAGGGAGGTTCAGGTTGAACATTACGAAAAAGTTCCTAACTGTCAGGACAGGTAAACACTGGAATAAATTGCCCAGGGAGGTTGTGGAATCCCCATCTTCTGGAGATATTTAAGAGTAGGTTAGATAAATGTCCATCAGAGATGGTCTAGACAGTATTTGGTCCTGCCATGAGGGCAGGGGACTGGACTCGATGACATTTCAAGGTCCCTTCCAGTTCTAGGAGATAGGCAATCTCCATTATTAAATATTATTAAATTATTATTAAATAAATTAAATGTGGGGACATTGCAATGACAGGGCTCATCCGGGCCTTCGACTCACATGCCACACTCAGTTCTTTCCAGCACATCATTGGCCTCTCTTCACTGTAAATTTCCTGGCATCATGTGGCCCGTGGTAAACAAGTATCACGAGGCTGGAAACTGAGCTGGGTGGAAACATGGTTTTGTGACTGGCTTTTGTGTGTTTGTTTCTTTAATACATTCCTGCATGACATCATACCTGGAACCACAGGGCACCCATTGCCCAGAGGCTGATGCGGATCAGTGAATCTGCATCTAACATACGCTCTGCATGACGCTTGTGATCACCGTGCGAAGACGCTCTTTACCCAGGCTGCTCGGCAGCATTATCCCCACGTCAGGGGTACACTGAGGCATGAAGGGCTACACGGCTCTTCCCAAGGCCCCATAACAATTCAGTGACAGGGCTGAGAATAGGACCTGGGAGTCTTGACCACCTGATGCCATTGCTTTCACCATGAGCTGGCCTTGCTCCTCTGGGTTGTGTTACAGGGAGTGAGGCCGTTTGTGTGTTGTGAGCCATGTCGCTACTGTAGTTCTTTAACCCTTGTCTCTGCCCAGCATCCCGCCTAATGTAGTGGCGCATCCTTCTGCCTCTCCCGCTCTTGTCCTCCCGGCTTCCAAGCTGGGTGCTTGCCTTGCCCCCTAAGCCTGGCTCAGAGCAAAGGGCTCCCAGCCCCTACCCATTGCGGGGACTCTGTCACCTACAGGCCCCTGGCAGGGAGGAACCAAAGGGAAGTGAACGCTAATGAATGAAGCCCTCAATGGACTCTACCCTCAGGGGTTTGCTGCTGAGCGGTGGGCCCCACAAGCTGTAGGATGCTCGGCCTCACCTGCCTGCCTCACACCCTGTTCCCAGCCCCCAGCTGCTTTAATGTGGGTTGCTGGCTCCCGTCTCTGTGCCTGACTGGCCTGAGGGCCCCAGCGCTGCGTCCTCACGGCCCTCCCGGCAGGCTCCTGGTCAGGCTGCAGCAGCTCCTGTCCCAGCCGCAGAACAGAAGGAACCCGACCAGGGTGTGTGTGAAGTTCAGGATTGTTCCACCCTGGCACCCTGTACACACCACGGCACCGAGTCCCAGTGTGGTCTGTGCACGGGGGCCGTGGGAGGGGCCCTTCTGAAAGGCTCTGTCTGCAGAACGTGAACAGCCTGTGAAAGGGCCTGAGCCGCTGCCTGGGCAGGTCTGGAGTCTGGCTCTGTCTGTGCTGCTGAAACGTGGGGAGGCTGAGAGCCCCCCGCCGCCTGTCTGGTGCAGCAATGGGAAGGCCAAGGAACGGTGACAGTTTAATGAGGGAATTCACACAAGGGCTGCCCAGGAACAGTGAGCACCAGAAACCTCCCCAGGCAGCCCTGCACAATGGGAACAGCTCGGCCCTGGCCACAGAAAATGGGCTCCCTGTCAGTGGGAAGAAGAGAGAAAAGGGGCAATGTCACGATGATGGATCCTAACTCTGCCTAGGACAATGCACCTGAGCATACGGGAGGGAATAGCCTGAATGTGGAAGGAGGAGGTAGAGGGGGAGGAAGTGCCAGTCTGGGGCAAAAAGGAAGCCTGCTTGAAAAATGAAACCTGCCGGTGCTACCTAATGGGGTGAGACGCTGCTCCATGCAAACTCTCACTAGTATTAGCCTGAGAGTGGGGAGTTGTTTTATTGTTATCATAATCAAATTTCATCAGTTTGCTGTCACGCACCTTCCCTGCAAAGCTCTCTGTCTGTCGCTACCATTTTGATGAGACACAGAACTGAGATGTACCTCAGTCCAACATGGCATCTCAGAGAGACCTATCAAAAAGATGATCCATGTGGTGATGGGGGGGGCCCACAAGAGGAGCAAGCAACACATGTGGGGCATTGAAGGACAAGACAGAGAAATGGCCGAGGGCTCCAGGGGAGACGTGGAGTAGGGCTCTGAGGAAAAAAGTGGGGCAAGGCCAGGGCCTCGGGTGTTCAGCTACAATCAGAAAGGTGACAACCCTATGAGTTGTACATAGATGGATTCCCCAGGCTGAGAAACCTCAGTAAACTCAGCAAAGAATTTAAACTTTCTTTGATTGGTCAGTCAAAGATTCAGGGAAGAGCACCATGTCACCAGGCAGCACCCCACGGTGCAGTGCCTGAGAGCCAACACTTGAGGAGAAAACTTTAGTCCCTTTATGAGCAAAGAACTGAAGCAGCCTGTCCCGGATCTGTTTGGTCCTCACCCCGTAGATGATGGGATTCAGCATGGGGGGCACCAGGAGGTACACGTTGGCAATGAACACTTGGAAATAAAGAGGCAAATTGTGGCCAAAACGGGATGTCAGGGAGGCAAACAGAGTCGGGATATAAAAGGCTAAGATGACACAGATGTGGGAGCCACAAGTCCCAAAAGTCTTGATCCGGGCGTCCTTTGTGGGAAGGCTGAAGATGGCCCTGAGGATCTGGATATAGGACAGGGTGATAAAAAACACATCCAGACCAATCCTACAGGATAGCACAAAGAGGCCGTAGTAACTACTGATGCGGGTGTCACCACAGGCCAGCTTCACCACATACATGTTCTCACAGTGGGTGTGGAGGACAATGTTGGTTCTGCAATACGGCCATTGCTTCGCCAGGATGGGATAGGGCAGTGCGAGAATGCTGCCACGCAACACAATGACCAGGCCAATCTTCATCACCAGAGAGTTTGTCAGGATGGTGGAATGTCTCAGGGGGTGGCAGATGGCCACGTAGCGATCCAACGCCATGGCCACGAAGATTCCAGACTCGATCGCAGAGAAGCAGTGAACAATGTACATCTGGGCCAGGCAGGAACTGAAATCAATCTCCCTGTATTTGAACCAGAAGATTGCTAGAATTTTGGGCAGGGTGGACGTGGACAGCACCAGGTCGGTGACAGCCAGCATGCAGAGGAAATAGTACATGGGTTCATGGAGGCTCGATTCCTTCTTCACAATGAACAGGATGGCAAAGTTTCCCAAGATCACTATTACATACATGGTGCAGAAGGGGATGGAGATCCAGACATGGGCCGCCTCCAGGCCAGGGATGCCCAGCAGGATGAAGGTGGAGGGGTTGGAGAAGGCAGTTGTGTTGGTATCCGTCATGGAGTGGGGGAGAAGCGATTCAACTCTGAGGCAGAACGGTGTCTCTGACTTGAACAAGATGCTCTGTGGACTTTCTGGATGTGCCCAGGGTCTAGGGCGCTGGTCACAGTGTAATTGCCTGAATGAAGACACAATGTGAATATGAGACACCACATACACTACTGGTGGCTATTCTCATGTCTCTTTCATTATCCACAAGAATTATGAACAACAGATCCTATTAATTCCTTGTATGATGGTGCTCCAGGCATCAATAATTTCTGCAGGTGGAAAGGGAAATGTGATGCAGGCTTTGATAATGGGGGAGCTGTCATATGCAGCCAGACTGAGAGGTCTGAGGCAGATAGAGGAGAAGAATGAAAAAATGGAACTCGTTGCATTACCTTCAAATGGAGAAACCAAGAAGAGTTCCAATCAGCATTATTTATAGTGACTAATTACTTTCAAAGGGATAATTCCTCAAAGCTGTGTCAAATCCTCAGCAAAACTGTTTGAGAGGAATAGTTGGACAGAAAAATGGGAATGAAAATTGGGATGGACAATTTGATGAAAGCCATGTTCCATGGCTAAGTGAAGGCAGAACTTAAGGGAGAAAATGCTCCATATAACACACAGGGGAATAATCGATACAAGGAAATAGAAATTGGACATTTTGAAAAGTGGGGAGGGACATGACACATATCAGGGAAAATCTTTGGTAGTGTTAAGAATCAAAAAAGGAATCTATCTGGGTACATGGGGGAAGATACCTTAGGAAATATTTTGGCCAGTTTCTAGAGGTTGAAAGGAAACTTGTTCCCACTGGAGAAAAAGTAAATATGTTCAAGAAATGGTTTTCTTCTGCACTTGGAAAGAAGCCCTTACAATGTACTCAAATCACCTCATGTGATGAAACACGTCCCCGTCCACTAGCTGTCAGAGGAAAGTATTATAGAGCAACAGTGGAACCTTAGAGCTACAAGCGCCAGAGTTATCAACTGACCAATCAGCCACACATCTCATTTGTAACCAGAAGTAGGCAATCAGGCAGCAAGCAGCAGAAACCTCTCCCTTTTTCCCTCTCCCTGTAAGAAAGGAGGTAAATACAGGACAGGACACTGTTAAACATAAATTATTAAAAAAAACAAGGGAAAACTCAACACAAAACCGTTAAGGTTGGGAAGCAATGGAAAATCTGGAATCGGATGTTTTTAAATAAATGTCTAGGAATATCATTAATGCCAGTCAACAGTACGATTTCGGTAAAACTGGTCGTAGCAAACAAACCCTTCTCTTTTTGTGGTGCTATGATTCTACAGTGTGAACCAGGCCTGAGTGACCTGCAAATCAGCAGACTCAATGGAGGGGTGATGGGGTGAAATTCAATGGTCTGTGCGACCTGCAACTCAGCGGACTTGATGGAGGGGTGATGGGGTGAAATTCAATGGTCTGTGTTACACAGGAGATCTTGTGGTCCCTTCTGAGCTTAAACTCTATGGATCTATTAATAAAGAAAGTAGATCAGGTATTTATAGCGACTATGTCTCTCAACATCCGAGCAAGGGAACATATAATTCCATCGAATGTTTGACCATGTAACACCGATAAAAGGAAATTGCTTACACAATCCGTATCTGGCCTGCAGAACTCCGTGACACAGACTTATTTGGAGTAAAGAGTTTAGCTGAATGGGATTCACAAAAGGATCAGCAAGTGCAGGTGTGTCGATGCTACAGCCTTTAGTTAAACATACGCCGACCCTTTCCAGGAGAACAACTCTAGTTCAGTTGCTTGGAAGTTTTCCAAACTTCACGATTTGAGAGTGAAATATCCCGCACATGTGTCTCTGCTTTCAGCTCAATAGTTGTTGTTATTTTAAGTTTCAGGCATAACAGTGCAGATGCCTAACGAAAGAAGCTATAAATAATTAAATATTCATCATGCTATTCCCATGAGAAGCCCTTCCACCTCCATGCTTTCCAGGAGACACAAGGCAGGTAACAGGCCCAGTCTTCCCACACCCTTTTAAGAGTCAGAACTGAGATGCAAGAGGAGGAGGTGTCAGTCTATGGCTGTGTCTACACTGGGCCACTTATTCCGGAAAATCAGCCGCTTTTCCGGAATAAGCTGCGAGGTGTCTACACTGGCCCTTGAATTTCTGGAAAAGCAACGATGCTCTACTGTACAAAATCAGCCGCTATTCCGGAAAAACTATTCTGCTCCCACTCAGGCATAAGTCCTTATTCCAGAACACTGTTCCGGCAAAGGGCCAGTGTAGACAGCCCAGTAGTCTTTTCCGGAAAAAAGCCCCGATCGCGAAAATGGCGATCGGGGCTCTTTTCCGGAAAAGCGCGTCTACATTGGCCACAGACATTTTTCTGGAAAAAGGGCTTTTCCGGAAAAGCAGCCTGCCAATGTAGATGCTCCTTTTCCGGAAAAAATGAAAATGGAATAGTATTCTGTTTTAAGCAGTTCCGGAAATTCATGCCAGTGTAGACACAGCCCCTGTGTATTAACACTCAGTTGGCTTTTCAGGTCTTTATTCAATATTATTCAAAGGACATTTTCCATAGTAGGACCTGGGGAAATTAAGGGACACAGCCTGAAAATTTGGACTTGTATTGTAATATTACCAGGACAACTCACTTACAGGATGAAAACTATTTAGAAAAGCTGATGATACACAAATCCACAGGCTGGACGTAATGCATATGAGGGTGCTGAGGGAGTTCATTGATATGACTACAGAGCCACCTTTGAAAATTCATGGCAATTGGGGAAGGACTTGAATGAATGGAAAAGGGCAAATGCTGTGCCCATGTTTAATAAGGGGAAAAGGACAATCCAGGGAACTACAGACCAGTCAGCCTCACCTCAGTCCCCGGAAAAATCAAGGAGGGAATCCGCAGGAATTCATTTTGCGTTATTTGAAAAGTGATTGAAAATAGTCAATGAAGATTCATAAAGGGCAAATAATTCCAGATGAATCTGATTGCTTTGTATGATTAGATAACTGGCTTTGTGGATATGAGGAAGGTGTTGGATGAAATATATTTTAACTTTAACAAAGTTTTGGCATAATCTCACACAATATACTTGCCAGCAAGTTAAGGGAAAATTGATTGGATAAATGGATCAACAGCTTAATGTCTGGTTGGTGGTCAGTTTCTAGCGGAGTGCCCCAAGGATCGATTCTAGGGCCAGTTTTGTTCAACATCTTTATTAATGACCTGGATGAGAGGATGGATTGCACCCTCAGCAGGTTTTCAGGTGGCACTAAGCTATGGGGAGAAATAGATACATTGGAGGGAAGGGATAGGGCCCAGAGTGTCCTAGACATGTTGGAGGATTGGGCCAAAAGAAATCTGATGAGGTTCAACAAGGACAAGTGCAGAGTCCTGCCCTTGGGACGGAAGAATCCCAAGCATAGTTACAGGCTGAAGACCGACTGGCTAAATAGCAGCTCGACAGAAAAGGAGTGGGGAAATAAAGTGAATGAGAAGCTGGATATGAGTCAACAGGGTCCCCTTGTAGCCAAGAAACCTAACGGCATATTGGGATCCCTTAGGAGGAACATTGCCAGCAGATCTAGAGAAGTGATTATTCCCCTTTATTGGGCATTGGTGAGGCCACATCTGGAGTATTACGTCCAGTTCTGGGCCTCCCATTACAGAAAGGATGTGGACGCATTGGAGAGGGTTCAGCAGAGAGCAAATAAAATGATGAA